AGGTGACTCCCCACGGGGCAGCCCCAGAGCCCCCTCGCTGCGGAGCCCGGCGCACCCCACGGCCGCTCCGCTGCCACCCGGGCACTGCACAGACCCAGGGGCAGCCACAGCCCCGGGGGAACACACCCTGGGGGTGCTGTGTGTGAGGACACCAGACACCTGGGGAGAAGCCAGGAGGGTTCACCAAGCAGCAGTCCCAGCGTTTGGTGTAAATCAGCCTGATCCTATCGGAGGCTAACGGGTGTCTCCTCTTAGCCCAAACAGGATGCATTAATGGGCACTATTTGCTGCTGGAGACCTCACGTCCTCTTCCAGGAGTCAGGCTCCATCTGCAGCTGCCCTTCATCTGTCTCCAGGGTTTCCTCCTGTTTGTCCTCTGCCCTGTCCTCTCTTTCACACCCAGCGTGGCTCCAGCAGGAGGAAGCCGGGTGAATCCAACCTCTGCCAAAGGGCAGAGCAGGCCAGAGAAGGGAGCTCAGCCCCATCCCTCCAGCATTCCACAGAGGAAACGGAAACAAGGCAGCAAACGTCTCTGACTGCCCCTCCTGCCAAACACGAGCTGCAGAGCTTCTCAACTCTTGCAGCCTCTCTCAAAGAGAACACCACATAGCACTTCCATGAGCTGGCACAGGAAGGGACTTGCTGCCACAGGCACTTTGGTAGCCTGGAAAAGCAGCCTGTGTCCTCCCAGCCCAGCCCAAGCCAAACCACAGAGTCCCACTCAGAGCCAGCAGTGCACAGCAAGAGGGGGAACCTGTGAACCACGGATCACTTGAGCATGTGCTTCCTGGAAGACAAACCACACAGGACTTCCCAGGCAGGCAGCACCTCCTCCAGGCTGCCCTGGACAGAGGTGAGGGTTTTACTGCTCCAGAGTTACTGATCTCCCTGCAGGAGGAGCAAAACACTCATTAGAGAGCTCTGCAGTTTCAACACAGAGGCAGCTTAACAACACTGATGTAGCTTTGTCAGGAGAAGGCCTACTCTGACCCATCCCCTCTGGCCAGCACTGCAGGACACGGGACAGCCCGAGGTGCTCCCACCATCACCAACAGCCCATCTCCCCAGACACACACCAGGGGGACACCGGGACAGGACGCCCGGGGCCTGCATCCTTCCCATGCTGGGATCAGACACGTGCTGAGAGCAACAGGATCGTCCCTCAGAGGCTGCCAGGGAACCAGGCTGAGTGGGGAACCTGCCTGTCCACTCCTGCAGGCTGGGCAAGGCTTCCAGCAACTGAGCTGCCCTGGGGACACCCCCCAGGCCCTCACGGGGTGGTGACAGCACAGAGCTCTGTGTGCAGAGCAGCAGAGCAACAGCAGATGCCACAGAACACCTGGGAGGGGTTCCACTGGTCACCTCCTCGGGGAGGACTGTAAGAACCTCAGTATTCATAGAGTGTCACATGAATCACACTTCTCAAAATAAAACCGAACTCCATTAATAGACTTCCTAAGCTATCTACATTATTAAAATCTACTGCTGAGCAGTCAAATACTTACTAGTGTGTACAAAAGTCAAAGAGTCAAGGACTGCATTTTCTGGGAGGAAAACTTAGAGAAAATACCAGCAACCAGTCAGGGGAAAATGTTCTTGCTTTGGTCAAGGTGGTGCTGAGCTTGTGAAAGCTGTACACAATCTACCAAACAAGAAAGAATCTGTGGTCTTGTCCAGAAGACCATGATGGCAGTATTAATTACTTTTCGTTGTTATTAACTAATTTGTTAAGCAATACTCATTTCTCAGCAACTTCCCCTCCAGCTGCCTCCAGCTCCCAGAAGGCACATGGGTGCAGTTATTTACTGGGCTGCACTTTCCTGTATGCTACGAACAGAAGCTGGGGCAAATTCCCCAACAATCACATCATCCCCATGAGGCCCTGCTGTGTCCAGGACCACCGGGGAGTCACCCCTGGCCAGCTCTGTCCTTGCTGCTGCAGATCCCTCCCAGGGGTCCCTGCCACAGCCATCGCTTCTTGTTGCTGAAACCAGCACCAGGGATACAAGAAACTGCATCACCACTGTTACTGTGATGGTAAACATGCCCAGATGCTTCCTTTTCTTTCACATCCCGTTTCACATGAGGACGGCGCCTTACGGTCACCACAGGGAGAGTTCTTGTGTCATTTCTGGGACTGAATCAGAAATCCAGAGGTGAAGCTCGACTTCACAGGGCTGTCCCTGGAGCGACCCAAACCCCCCCGGTTACGCAAGCGCGCTGGGCGAACCCTGGACGAGTGTGTTGGAGGTTAAGCCTGGATGGCACCCGGCCATCCCCACACTAGTTACACAACCCGAGTCTCCCACGCCGCCCCAGTGAGCCCTCTTGGGCAACGGCCATCTCACCTTTGGCATGGAACGTCCACCCAGCCCTGGAGTACTCCTGCAGCTGGACCCTCTCCTGCTGGTGAAGGTAGCACACCTCACTGTAAAACTGGTGTTCGATGTAAACATAGGCAGCGGGGATGGCTCCTGCCACCCCTTTGGCACCAAAAAAGCCATTCACCTCCGGGGAGGCCAGCAGAATGCGGTACTGGGCCCTGGTGCCCAGGATGAGGTCCATGTAGGCCTGGGTCAGGTTGAAGTAGCCGGTGGTGAGGTATATCCTGGCGTCCCGCTCCGCCTCCGTCAGCAGCGTCTCCGTCACCACCTCGTCTATCCGAATCCCAAAAGGTTTCATCTGGATCAAGGGATAGATCCAGGTGTCGGGTTCTGGTTTCAGCCCCCCGGCCACTTGAGAGCCTTGCTGGGACGGCGAGGAGCTGCCTGGCTGGCTGCCGTGGCAAGTCTTGGTGTGAAGGAGCTCCTGCCGTGTCCTGGCAGAGTTGATCACCTCCATCACCCTCCGGTTGGCTATCTCACAGTAAGCCACCTTGTCTCCTGCAGGAAAACCACAGGGGATGGCTTTTGAGACCTACAGGTACAGAGCTACCCATCACCTATTGCACAGCAGGAAAACACTGACAGGACACCGAAAGAAGAACAGAAAGGAGCTAACACAGAGGCTGCACAGCTTTCTTCCCTAAGGCCCAAGACCAGACTTCTTAAAGTCAGCAAATCTACACTACAGAAGACAAATATTCAGCTTTAAGAGGGGTAAGAAACTTGACTAGCAGCAGCTTGAAAAAGCCACTGAGAAATAAAAAGACCAGGGTAAAGCTAAACTGGTAGCCAAGAATGACCTGGGCAGGTACTAAATAAACCACTGGCCATGCTCTAAGCTTACATCACACAACAGCACACAAAGCCAAGACAAACACTTCAGATGCAATCAGCCTGACGGATGCCCTGCACTGCCCACCCAACACTTGTTCTCAGGGTTCCTAATTCAATGGTCATTTGATTCCCAGAAGAGACTCAACTACAGAATAATAATTACCAAAAACAGCACTACATTCATGAAACTCTCAGAATATGTACACACAGAACATCTAGAATTATGGACATCAACATCAAAACCAGAAAGAATCTCTCAAAGAATTTAAGGTCTTGTTTAAGGTCACAAGCAGCAGTACCATGAGGTAGCAATGAGACAGTTATAGATGAATCTCTGGCCTTTGGGTATAGCTAGATCAGCTGGTGAAAGCTGCTGTGTGAGGAACACTTTGATAAATCCAGTCTCCAGACTCTAGCAGTCCTGATTTTCATAGAATCATAGAATCATTTAGGTTGGAAGGGACCTCCAAGATCATCAAGTCCAACCACCGAGCCACCAGGGCTCCAAAGTCCTCTGCCAAAACAGATCAGAATCTGTCAGGGTTGGAAGGGACCACAAGGATCCCCCAGTTCCAACCCCTCTGCCATGAGCAGGGACACCTCCCACTAGATCAGGCTGCCCAGAGCCTCCTCCAGCCTGGCCTTAAAGCCCCCCAGGGATGGGGCCTCACCCACCACCCTGGGCAACCCATTCCAGGGTCTCCCCACTCTCATGGGGAAGAACTTCTTCCTCATGGCCAGCCTGAATCTGCCCACTTCCAGCTTTGCCCCATGCCCTCTAGTTCTGTTGTTACTTGAGATCCTAAAAAGTCCCTCCCCAGCTTTCCTGTAGCCCCCCTAAGATACTGGAAGGATGGCACAGAAATGGGACACCCCACAGTCTGTCAGCAACGGTCAGATTCAGCAGCTCACACACGGATGGAGTTCAAGCCATCCTTAGCCCCTGGCTGGAGCTCCCTCCTCTGGACCATACTGTCCAGCCGGGTGACACAACCCCGCCTACCCTGGTAGGGGTGTTCCATCCCCTCCATCATCCGGACCGTGTCGTCTCGCTGCAGCTGCAGAGACACATCCCCGATGGCATCCACGAGCTCTGTGAAGAAGTCTGCGATCTCGGGAGAGTCCTGCAGGAGAACATAGCGGTCCTGGCGATTGGTGAAGTACAAATCACTCAGGTTTGCACTAGGAGAGAGGAAGAGGAGTTGAGTTCCAGAGCAGAGCCCAGCGCTCGGTCCTGAACACCCAGCCCAGGTGACGGAGCTCACTCGGCACAACACCAGGCTTACAAACTGAAAAGTACAAATCGGCTGCCTCCTTTTGAACCCTGAGAAATCTTTCTCTTGCCCTTTTGAGAAAGACTCTCTTTCAGACGAGAGCGTTGTTTGGAAGAGCTGTGGTTGCTCTTCCACCCCAGAGGAGCCCCGATAGGATCGCTGTGGAAAAACGAGTTCAGACACCACCAGTCACATGCACACCGCGCCTCAAAACCTCAGCTCAGGAACCGTGTGAGGGCCTGAGGAGGCAGGACTCACCCGCTGAGGATCACATCATCATCAAAGAGATAGACCTTGATGTCCACAGTCTGTCAGCAACGGTCAGATTCGGCAGCTCACACAGGGATGGAGTTCAAGCTGTCCTTAGCCCCTGGCTGGAGCTCTCTCCTCTGGACCATACTGTCCAGCTGGGTGACACAACCCCACCTACCCTGGTAGGGGTGTTCCATCCCCTCCATCATCCGGACCGTGTCGTCTCGCTGCAGCTGCAGAGACACATCCCCGATGGCATCCACGAGCTCTGTGAAGAAGTCTGCGATCTCGGGAGAGTCCTGCAGGAGAACATAGCGGTCCTGGCGATTGGTGAAGTACAAATCACTCAGGTTTGCACTAGGAGAGAGGAAGAGGAGGC